CGGGCCCGCGCCGCCCCCGCCCCGGCGGCTCTCCGCGTGTCCTTCCCGCCGGCGACCTCCCACCCAGGCCGGAGGACGCGCAGGGCTGAGCGGTGACCCGGCCCGGCACCCACCTCAGCGGGGAGAGCCGGAGGTGGAGTCTCCTCTGGGGCCCCCCACTTTCTCCGACACCGCAATTGCCATGAGCCAGGAGGGGCAAATTCCTGCAGAAGCCCCGGGGTGCGCCGTCGCCGCCGCCGGTTTCCTGCCCCTCCGCCTGCCTACCTGTCCCCACGAGCACTCCAAGCGCAGCGCCGGCCCGGCACGGGAGCTCACGCCCGCGGGGGTTGGACTTTCTCTCCCCGCGGCTGGCTGGCTTAGTCCCGCCCCATCTCCCACCGCCCAGCCCTGCTGACACCCATCCCCAATCCCTGTGCGAGGACAGTGCCCCCGCGGAGAGGTCCCCATGGTGACTAGAGATGCCAGCGCCTCCACCCCCTTGGGTCTGTGCCATGGCTTGGCTTATCCTCCACTCTGCGGCACCCGGTCTTTCCTGTCTTGAGTCTGTGCCAGTCACCTCTCCAATCCCATTTCCCCTTGCCCAAGCCTTCCAGTTCTATGCCAAATTCGCTCCTCTCCGTGCCTGCCCTACACACAACACACCTCCATGTGCTGCCGCCTCCTTCTCTTCCACCCCGGAATTCTGTACTTGCTGAGTTTCTCCACACACGCGCTATGTTTCCCACCTCCCAGCCAGCTTTTCCCACTGTCTAGCATGCACTCTCCCAATCCTACCGTGCGAACTCCTACCCATGCCTCAAAACCCAGGTCAAAGGCAGCCTTTTTTTTTTTTTTTTTTAAAGATGACCGGTAAGGGGGTCTCAACCCTTGGCTTGGTGTTGTCAGCACCACGCTCAGCTAGTGAGCAAACCGGCCATCCCTATATAGGATTTGAACCTGTGGCCGTGGTGTTATCAGCACCGCACTCTCCCGAGTGAGCCACGGGCCGGCCTAAATGCAGCCTTCTTTTGAAGCCTTCCCCACACCAGCCCAGGCAGAGGTGCTGCACTCCTGCTCCCTCAGTCTGTCCCTGTCTGCTGCTCTGGGTGAGAATTTGAGTCTCCCTAACTCCGCTGTGAGTCCCCCAAGGGCAAGGCCTGCGTCCCCATTACCTGTCCCTGGGGCACTACTGGCATTGAGATGAGGGCTCAATAAATGTAATAAATTTAAATTCCTTTCCTGGTTGTCCTTTTTCTAAACTAAGGCACTCCTTGCCTGCCATCCCTTTTTTTGAAACTGGAATTCACCCATCCCTAGGAAAATGGCCCTGGCCCTGGGCACGGGGGAGTTGGAGAGGTCACAAAGGCCGGTCCCCTTCCTCAATTCTCTTCTGCCACCAGTTCCTTGCCTGTCCGGGCACCAATTACTTCTCCCCTGGCTTCATGTGGGTAAAGAAAAGTCACCAGTGGGGAGCTCAGTCCCTCTTCAGACCCCCACACCTCTCAGACCTCCTACAAGCTCATCTCCCTGAGCCACCACTGATGCTCAGAAAAAATGTTCATTAAAGCATAAACATTTGAAATCAGGTTCCTTTCCCACCTACCAATGAAGAGAGGAGGCGCAGCAGCTGTGTAGCAGGGGTCCCTGGGGAGTCGTGTGAATTCTTAGGCAAAGATAAAGTTTGGCAGAGAAAGAGGAGTAGAATTACCCAGAGCCACTCTAGAAAAGGAAAATAGTTTCTTCTATTCAAAAAGCCCCACTCCCTGCCCCCACCAGCTGGGACTTTTCTGAGCTTGGTCAAAGGTCCCCTGTTAAGTGGGAGGAAAATACTTCTCCCGCTGCAGGGTGGGGGCAGCTGAGGCCCAAGGAGTTCACCTTCTGATCTTTCCTGTTTGTCCTATGATCCCTTCTTCTCAGACACCCAGACCCATGATTTCTTACCCCTCACCCAGCTGCAAGAGGACCCAGAGGTTGGGGAGGCAGAACCCACACACCATGTCAAGGGGCAGCCTTGGACCCACCAGCCAGGCTCTACTCATCACTGGCTTGAGCAAGAACTTCTCTCCAAGCCTCAGGTTCTCCTCTGCCTACCTCAGAGGGACATGGTGAGCACAGTACCCAGCACATAACTGATATGCCAAAATATGGTGGTTTAGAAAGAAGATTCCAGAGAAAAGCATAAGAGCTTCCTTCCTATTGTAAATTCCCCTCTGCACTGGCCCTATGCCACTCACCGGCTGCACCAAAGACCCCCTTCCATTTGGGGGCCGGGGTAGCTTGGTGGGGCAGAAGGAGCACAGCCCTTGGAGGCCAATGGGCCTGGCTGGACACCTGCTCTGCTTCTCACTGTGTGTGACTCGGTCAAATCATGTCAACTCTTGAACCCTCAACATGCTCATTTGAGCCTCCCACAGAAGCCAGTGGAGTAGAGAAGGAACTGGCTTCCATAAAGCTCCTACTAGGTGCCCCATGCTCCCCACACCTGCATCCTTAGTTCTCTATATTTTGATCACTTTGCAGATTGCAGATTCAGGGACAAGGCTGAGAAAAAAGTGGCCAGATCTCTGTGAGGTTGGGGTGGGATGGAAGGCTGGAGGGAGGAGAGGGAGCAAAACCACAAGAGCCTCTGGGCTCCCAGGATTCACCTCCTCCAGGAAGCCTTCCCTTACACCTGCGCTCCAGGGAGCCAGGGTTTGCACTAGCACTTTTGAACTACGGCAGTGAGATCTTTGTCTCTCTTTCTCCCTCTATATTGTGAGCTTTGAATGGGAAGAAATCTATCTTTTTTTTTTTTTTTGTCCTTTTTCGTGAACGGCTGCACCGAGCTCAGCCAGTGAGCGCACCGGGGCCATCCCTATATAGGATCCGAACCCGCGGCGGGAGCGCTGCTGCGCTCCAAGTGCCACACTCTCCCGAGTGCGCCACGGGGTCGGCCCTTCTTTTCGTTTTTTTTAAAAGATGACCGAGGGCCGGCCCGGTGGCGCACTGGATAAGTGCGCCGCTTGGGAAGCGCGGCGGCGCTCCTGCCCGAGGGTTCGGATCCTACATACAGACTGGTTCCCACTCACTGGCTGAGCGAGGTGCGGGAGCAACACTGAGGGTTGCAATCCCGTTGCCGGTCCCCGGTCCGGTGCGGGGGCAACACTGAGGGTTGCGATCCGTTGCCGGACACGGAAAAAGACCCAAAAAGAAAAAAAAAAAGATGACCGATAAGGGGATCTTAACCCTTGACTTGGTGTTGTCAGCACCACACTCTCCCGAGTGAGCCACGGGCCGGCCCAGAAATCTTTTTCATCATTATACCCTGTACTAGAGATTTGTGGTGGCCCTGAAGGTTCACCTAAAAGAGAGCGCATGTGAGAAGCACAGTTGGTTGGCAGCCTCCAGCCCTGTGCCTTGGCTCTCTCTGCACCACATTCTGGGGCTCTCCCTGCGCCTCTCTGTCCCACTGATCTTCACAGGCATTTCCCCCTACAGATCTCTTGCACATCTCATCCCATCTTAGTGTCTGCTACTTGGAGGACATGAACTGACCCACAGGGTCCTTGGCTACAAACCACAGAAAAGGACTTAGTCAACTTAAACAAAAATTGCTCAGAGGAAGGACATTGGGAGCTCATGGAATTGACAGAAGGCTGGAGAATCAGGAACAGAAATGGGTGGAGGCCATTGTCATAGATGGTGGCCCG